CTCTCTGTGTGTGTGTGTGTGTGTGTGTGTCTGTCTGTCTGTCTGTCTCTTTGGGAGGGGGGAGGGGATTTTCATCCGGTTTACTACTTATTTGTACCAACCGTCACCCGCCCAGTGAGCGGTAAAACGCTTCGTTGCCACTCGCTTAAGTCCAGACTTTCTTTCCCAAGCAAAGAGAGATTTTGAACCGCGACTGTCGGGGTTTTTCTTTAGTTTTAGTTTTAGTAGAGGTTTTACGGCACTCGCAACTGCATAACGTCGTATGAACGCCAGAAGATTAGAGGTGTTACAAGAGAGTAACAAACATAAAAAAAAAGAAGAAGGGGAGATAAGGACGATAGATGTTTTAGTTTAGTTTAGTACGGGGTTTTACTACGCTCGCAACTTTGATAGGAAAGAAGGAGCAAACCACACCAGAGCACCCGCCAACCACCCACGGGGGGTTTTCTGCTGGGACGTTGTATGTATCCCTCTCAACCCGGGTGCGTGTATCTTCCTAAGGAAGTGAGTATTCCCACCCGGGGTGAGAATAATTTAATATGTTCTTCCCACCCGGGTCGGGTCACTTCTCATCTTTTCTACCTATCTAGATCTAGATTCTGTCACTTCTCATCTCTACTACCTCTCTAGATCTAGATTCTAGTTTTATAAGATGTAACACAGGCTGAAGATCGACCTCTAGACCTAAGGGGTGAGAATTAGACATAGGGCCTACACTGGTAGATCTAAGTAGATCTAGATCTAGTCCGGCTCTACAATGTTATGCTGGGTGTGGAAATATTGAGCACATTCAAACGAGAGTGCAAATTATGGGCATCCTCTTCCTAATAATATATCTCTTTCTCGTTCTCTTCATTTATTCCTTCTCCCCTCTCAGGCGATCCAAGCAATATTACTTATAACTAAATACACTCCTTACAGATCTTTACCCTTATGTAGAAATCCGATACCAATAACAATAGATTATTTCAGAGAACTACACAGAACTTATTCACGAGGAATGGTGTGTGAATCTTCATATTATCTCTTTCTCGTCCTCTTCTTCTTTCCTTCTCCTTCCTCACGTCCTCCAAGAAGTACTGCTAATTGCTAAATAAACCTCTCATCGGCCCTTATATAAAAATACGATAACGACAAAAGAAGAATATTTCAGTGAACTAAATGGAACTTTACACAAGAAACGGTAACATACGTAGTAAAAAAAAATATTACGGCTTGATGTACCCTATCTGCACTAAACTGGCGGGCAGACGTGAGACCCAGTCCAGAGAAACGACGTCACCAAAAATGCGAGGTATCGTGGTGGAATCAGGCCGTCGTCAAAATAACGAAATCAAAGAAAACGTCATTTTTTCTGGCTGTTGGGCTATTTGTTTTTCGATTTGTCCGGGGGAGAGAGGGGGGGGGGGGTTGAATCTATATCTTTTATGTCCATAATTTAAATTTAAAAAACAGATTTCTGAGTGGATTTTACTGAAAATGTTAATAAAAAGCACAAAAATTGTAAATGTGCAGTTTTTGAGGACACTCAAGCTGTGGAAGTCACCAAACTTTGTCTCACATTTTCTCGTGTATTATACCTCAGACACTCAGACACCACTAGGTGACCTCACCTCCTTCAATAGCAAAACATCTCCACTGCTATTCAAGATAGACTGAAATC